TTTGACTCAATGTTGATTCCTAGCAATGGCAGGCAAGTCTCTGCAGTTCTTCTTGGCACTTTTCAGAACCATTGCTTGGTTCTTAGTGCTGAGAGAGTGCAACAGTCCAAAGTCACCCAGTTGGCTTCATCTCTAAAGTGGGACTAGAACTCCCTTTCTCCTGATTTCTAGCCTGGTGCCTTAACTACTAGGCCAGGAGTAGGCAACCTTGGCTTTTTTATGACTCGTGGACTTCAACTCCCAGAATTCCTGAGCCAGCATGAATGGCTCAGGAATTCTGGAAGTTGAAGTCCACGAGTCATAAAAGAGCCAAGGTTGCCTACCCCTGCACTAGGCCAAAATACTCTCAGTCCTAAGTCCTAATGATAAATCCATAGACAGAAGCTTCAATTCTCTTTCAGGCTCTAGTTTGTATTCATGTTATCAGCAGTGGTTTTTTGCCAGGAAGGTTTTTTTTTTGCTATGAATATTTTAACTTAAGTATTAAAACTTAATTTTAACTTTGTAACCACCTGGAAAGTTTTGCATGTGTTCCGTATGGAATGATATCTAGTGTTCTTATGAAGTTTTTCAAATACCTGACCGATCAGCTGGAATAACAATTTTGTCACCATGGACAAAAAGAATGCAAAGAATGAACTGAGTGTGGTAGGCAGACTATGTGATGATTAACTATTTTCTGCAAAGTTAAACTGGCCTGCAGCTTGGATCAAAAGCAGTATAAGGTGTTTATGTGAATAAAACAATAAGTACTAAAGCACAGGTTACTGGTCTGCAAAGTTCTATGTCTTCTAACAGTTGAATGGGATTAGTGGTGGGATTCAGATATGTGAACAACTGGTTCTCTGCGTGGATGCCACTTCTGGAAGTCCATTCTGGGCTTGGGTAACAAAAAAATAACTACCGGTTCTGCCGAAGTGGTGCAAACCAGCTGAATCCCACCACTGAATTGGATCTAGATCAAAATATTTTGGTATCACCACAAAGTCTGTGCTACTTCACAGAGTTTTGATGAGATGATATTCAACAGGAGTGGGAGAACTCATTAACTTTCATTGGCTATCAATACATTTGTTTGTACTTTATTAGCAAAACTCATATCCCATAGCCTGTATTTCAATTTTTTTTTCACATGCCTATGCTGCTTTTAAGGCATTCTTTATGAGTTTGGGCACTCTACCTTTACGGATCTATGAATATTCTGAAACAGCAGCCTGTTACTTTCTGGTCTCCTTTATGATCTTGAAGCAATACCTGCACAAATTTCTGCAGAATCTGATAATCTTATATGAATGATGACAGGAGTGTGGTGTGGCAAGCTCCACCCTTATGTAATAAGTATAACCAATTTGACACACAATTTGTTCCACTATCTGTCAGAATTACTGGTAGCCTCTTGCACTAAGACTGAGACAATCTAGGTTTAACTCTCCCTCAGCCCAGCGTACCTCCCACAGTTGTTGTGGGTACAGAATGGATATCCCGTCTAAGCTACCTTGATTTTCTGGAGAAAAGGCAGGATAGACTGTACATCTCTCTTTTTGTGGCTCAGTTTGATTATTTCAGATTTATACAGGTAGTCCTCAACTTACAATAGTTCATTTGAGTGACAGTTTGAACTTATAACGGCCCTGAAAAAAGGTGACTTATGACCTTTTTTCATACTAACGACCATTGCAGCATCCCCAGGATCATGTGATCCAAATTCAGATGCTTGGCAACTGACTCACACTCACACAACTAGCCACATATTTCTGACCGATAATATTAAGAGAGATATTTACCTGGCAACACACTAAGAATAATTTTCAAATAGAGCAAGAAAATATAAATAACAAGCATTTAATTCAAACAGAGTATTCATTTTTAGACCTAGGTAAATAATATTTTTAAAAATTGTGTTTTACAATATAGATAGTCTTCAACTTGCAACAGTTCATTTAGTGATTGTTCAAAGTTACAACGGCAGTGAAAAAAGTGAGTTATGATCATTTTTCACATTCATGATGGTTGTAGCATCCCTGTGGTCCCATGATCAAAATTCAGATGCTTGGCAATTGACTCATATTTATGACGGTTGCAATGTGCCTGGGGTCATGTGATCCCCTTTTGCGACTTTCTGACAAGGAAAGTCAATGGGAAAGCCAGATTCACTTAACAACCATGTTATTAACTTAACAACTGCAGTGGTTCACTTAACAACTGTGGCAAGAAAGTGGGGAAAAATCACTTAACAACTGCTTAACTTAGCAACAGCAATTTTGGGCTCAGTTGTGGTTGTAAGTCAAGGACTATCTGTACATATGCATTCTATGACTGTGATATCATTAGTGAATCTGTTAGTTCAGTCATTATTACAATCAGCCCATGCTAACCTCTACAACTAACATTTTACTTTGAAAAGAATGGCTTATTCCTTAAATTTGCAGGAAGAAATTGTAAAGGTCCTTTATAAATTATAAATTATAAGTCTTTGCAGAGAACACGTCTGCATGTCATACCAGGGTAAATGGAACAGATGCTTCTTACCCTAAAGGCTTTTTAATCTAATTATTAAACACATATGTTTTAAACTCATTCTCTGCCTCTATAAAAGGGTTCCCTATTCAGTTTCCTTTTTTTTTTTTTTTTTACTGCTGCAGTCTGCAAAGGACTTGGTAGCCTCTGCAGATTTTGAAAACTTTCATGATTTGGAATTAATCATAGTCACTGACTTCTTAAACTACTTCCCAAGAACTGGTAGAGTCAACACACTCATTGATATCCCATGTTTTCTGATTTCTCTTGCCTTTCTAATATTGCAAAACTGTTTTCTGATATTTATAACAATTAAGAATATTAGCATGATTTTCTGGCCTCTATGCCTGTCTTTTCTCTCAGTAACCATAGACTTAATTTGCATTGTTTTGATAATATTTACCCCATGATATTCCCCCATTCAGTCCTGGGTGAGCTGGCTTTTCCTGTTTCCCTCTTTAAGAGTGTTTGCATGCCAAGAAAATTTTACCAACTTCTTCTCATCCCTTAAATTTTCTGTATCCTGAATCTGGCCCTCAATCATTTCTGACTTTCTTATCCACCCGGCCCTTTCTAAAGTTATTTCTATTTGTAGCTTTTGGATTAAGGTTTCTACAGTCCGTTCCAGATAATTTTATTTTTGCTGGCTTTGTCCCCATGTTCATCTCCCTTCTAACACAACGACTTCATATATGCTTCAGGAGATTCTCCTGGCATCTCTGGCCTTTGATCTCATGGCTTTTACTTATCTGGTTTATCTTGGAGAAAATAAAATTTTCCTAAGAAAAAGTCATTTTTATTTGGAGCAAACAGAAGACTAAAAACTGTACAGTCTATGGTCTAACTGAAATTATATTTCTTCTACTTTCAGTTCCACAGCAATTTGGTAGCAGAAGAACTTCTATTTCTAATCAGCTGCTATAAAATAGTCTACTAGTATAGAAACTGTTGCTATAATAGGCCTCAGAAATATGTAACTTAAGGCTTCTGACTGGAATTCTACTGACATTCAGGAATCTCCAGAATGATCAGACTTCTGACCTCTTAGCTTTCTTTTCTTTATAACTTTACAAGAGCTGAAGTATGTGGCTTGTTTACAGTCCTTACAATAAAAAAATCCCCAATTCTCCAGTTTTGTTCCTGCTTCTTTTCCTCTTGTGTTTTTCCTTTCCATAGAACAGGGGTCTTCAAACTTGGCCCTTTTATGACTTGTGGACTTCAACTCCCAGAATTCCTCAACCAGCGTGCTGAGGAATTTTGCCTGGCTGAGGAATTCTGAGAGTTGAAGTCCACAAGTCATAAAAGCGCCAGGTTTGAAGACCCCTGCCATAGAAGATATTGGCTCCTCCTTCTCTTGTTCCACAAATTGGAATTGTATTTCACAAGTATAGAAAGTGGAAAGAGGGGCACACAACTAAGTCAGAATATCAACAAATAGCCCGAGCCTGCAAAGATGAAGTGAGAAAAGCTAAGGCTCAAAATGAACTAAGGCTTGTGACCAAAGTCAAAAATAACAACAACAAAAAAAACCTATTTCAACATGTAAAAAACAAGAAAAAAGTTAAGGAAATGATTGGTCCATTAGTGGGTGAAAGTGGCAAGAAGATGACAAGCAACAGGGAGAAAGCAGAACTATTTAACTTGTTTTTTGCATCTGTCTTTACACGAAAGGGAAAAAACAGACCAACCTACCAAAAATAGTGCCATTAAAAAAAAAGAATAGAAACGCAAGTTAAGATAGGCAAGAAAATGGTAAGTGAGCACCTGTCCAGCCTAGACAAGTTCAAATCGCCAGGACCAGATGGATTACACCCCAGGGTTCTCAAGGAACTGGCAGATGGGATCTCAGAACCATTGAACTATATTTTTCAAAGATCCTGGAGCACTGGGGAACTACCAGAGGACTGGAAAAGAGCTGATGTAGTTCCCATCTTCAAAAAAGGAAAAAAAATGGACCCAGGAAATTACAGACCTATCAGCTTGACCTCAATACCTGGGAAGATTCTTGAAAAGATAATCAAATAATGAATCAGCGAACACCTAGAGGCAAACAAAGTCATTACTAAAAACCAACATGGGTTTGTCAAAAACAGATCATGCCAGACAAATCTTATTGCATTCTTTAACCAAGTGACAAAATTAGTGAATCAGAGGAATGCTGTGGATATAATTTACTTGGACTTCAGTAAGGCATTTGATAAAGTAGATCACAACCTACTACTTGATAAGATAGAAAAATGCGGGTTAGACAGCATCACCACCAGATGGATCCGTAGCTGGCTGACCAGCTGTACTCAGAGTGTGGTCCTCAATGGAACCGCATCTACATGGAGGGAAGTGTGTAGTGGGGTGCCCCAGGGCTCTGTTCTGGGCCCAGTGCTCTTCAACATCTTCATCAACGATTTGGACGAGGGGATAAATGGGGAACTCATCAAATTTGCAGATGACATCAAGCTGGCAGGAATAGCCAACATTCCAGAAGACAGGCTTAGGATACAGGAGGATCTGGACAGACTTGAACACCGGGCGCTATCTAACAAAATGAAAGTCAATGGTGAAAAAAGTAAGGTTCTACATTTAGGCAAGAAAAACCAAATGTACAGGTATAGTATAGGGGTACTTTGCTCAATAGTAGTAACTGTGAGAGGGACCTCAGAGTCCTAGTGGACAATCACTTAAATATGAGTCAGCAGTGTGCTGCAGCTGCCAAAAAGGTTAATGCAGTGCTGGACTGCATTAACAGAGGGATAGAATCAAGATCACATGAAGTATTAATACCACTTTACAATGCCTTGGTAAGGCCACACTTGGAATATTGCATCCAGTTTTGGTCACCACGATGTAAAAAAGAAGTTGAGACTCTAGAAAGAGTACAGAGAAGAGCAACAAAGATGATTAGGGGATTAGAGGCCAAAGCATATAAGGAAAGGCTGCTGGAATTGGGTATGTCTAGTTTAACAAAGAGAAGGACAAGGGGGGGGACATGATAGCAGTATTCCAAGATCTCAGGTGCTGCCACAAAGAAGAGGGAGTCAAGCTATTTTCCAAGGCGCCTGAAGGCAGGACAAGAAGCAATGGATGGAAACTAATCAAGGAGAGAAGCAACCTAGAACTAAGGAGAAACTTCCTGACAATTAGAACAATTAACCAGTGGAACAACCTGACTCCAGAAGCGGTGAATGCTCCAACACTGGAAGTTTTTAAGAAGAGAATGGACAGCCATTTGTCTGAAATGGTATAGGGTTTCCTGCCTGAGCAGGGGGTTGGACTAGATGACCTCCAAGGTCCCTTCCAACTTTATTATTATTATTATTATTATTATTATTATTATTATTATTATTATTATTATTATTATTATTATTATTACATTCCTACTCCCTTGCAGATAGCAAATATTGTAAGCAGCACAACGAAAAGTAGCACAATGGATTAAACTAGGACAATGGATTTAAACTAGACTTCCTTGTATAGCCAATCATGCTTGGCCAACAATTCTATTCTCAGTAAGACTCAATGGAGATCAGGCAGCCCTTACACAAGAGCCTAGCTCCACATTCTTAGTGCTTTCATGACGTTCAGAAAAAAATCATTGGTAGCTCAGGGTTAAATGCCAACTCTGCTGCTGGTCAGGGCTGAAGAAACAGGTTCTGCATTCTTCTATCACCTCAGGCATGGAAGGAACACACTGTTCTCCATTTTTTTCTTCCCTGCGGAGCAAAGCATTTGCAAGCAAGCAGCTCAACTAAGCTGAAACTGCTTCACCTAAAAAAGACTGTTTTCTTCTTTCACTCTTCCCAGCTCCTGGCTCTCTGAGGGAAAGCATAATGGCTTTTAGAGTAAGCTTGTTCAGGAGGAAAGCTTAAACCAGGGGTCTTCAAACTTGGTCCTTTTATGTCTTGCGGACTTCAACTCCCAGAATTCCTCAGCCAGGCATGCTGGCTGAGGAATTCTGGGAGTTGAAGTCCGCAAATTATAAAAGGGCCAAGTTTGAAGACCCCTGGCTTAAACGTACAGTATCTTGGTGTGCCGTGAAAATTGAATGGATTTCTATGTGGGTAAAGCTCAGTGCTTATCAATGGTGTAGTTTATTGTTTTGTTTTGTTTTAAAGCAGGAAAGTTGCGTGTGTAATCTGGATTTTGTTGGGGGAGGAGAGGTATGGGGATCAGCGGGAAGCAAGTGATGAAAGATGTGTCATGATGTAAGATTTGTGACTTACATAGGTACACCAGGTGTCAGCATGCAAGAATGCCAAGGCAGAATTTGTATTGTATGTCACTCTGTGTGTCTTCTCATATTTAATGTAACCTTGGTCCCTTGAAGATATCTATAGGAAAGTTCTTTTATTTGTGTACATCTGTCTTTAACTGTGGCAGTGTTTCTCAGTCTTGGCAACTTTAAGGCTGGCTGGGGAATTCTGGGAGTTGAAGTCCACATGTCTTAAAGTTGTCAAGGTTGAGAAACATTGATCTAACAAATAGGCCAATTTGGCCTTCAGAACTTGGAACTGCATTTTGAGGCATGGTTTTCAGTGGGAGCAGAGGACTTGGACCTCCTAATTATTTTTACTCATCACATGTAATAAGGAAAAGGACCTAATGCTGCAACCTTACCCTGCAAACAAATGTCCATGGCCAAGCTCCCCTTTGACTGTAGACTTCCTTGTGGTTTCATGACAGGTCATGTGGTCAGGATGGAGGGTTGCACATTCCAGTTTATGAGTGGCTGTTTTCTGAGTGATGGAATGTTACAGCACAATGAACCCCCATTATGAATTTGCAACGAGGAAATCATCACTGAAAAAGAGATGTGGTTTTCAGTGGCAACCATGCTTCAGCTACAGTTACATCAAAAATCTAGCAAAACATTAGTTTCCCTGGCAAGATTTATATTTGACTTTTGTTCCACCTCATTCAGGAAGTGTTATTGTATTTATTTCTCCTCTTCCTGTGTTATATCTTCTTTGCTTCCAAACAATCATAGTGGGGGGGGGAACCTTTTAAGGAGAGAAAGATGGAGTAAGCACACATTTCTGACCGATAATATTAAGAGGACAACACACTAAGAATAATCTTCAAATAAAGCAACAGAATATAAATAACAAGCATTGAATTCAAACAGAACATTCATTTAGACCTAGTAAATAATATTTTTTAAAAAATAGGATATGACTAACATACACTAGTACCGATAGCATGCTAAGAATTAGTTAAATTGTGTTTTACAATATAGATAGTCCTCAACTTACAACAGTTCATTTAGTGACTGTTCAAAGTTACAACGGCAGTGAAAAAAATGAGTTATGATCATTTTTCACATTCATGATGGTTGTAGCATCCCTGTGGTCGCGCGATCAAAATTTGGATGCTTGGCAATTAACTCATATTTATGACAGTTGCAGTGTTCCAGGGTTATGTGATCCACCTTTGTGACCTGACAAGCAAATTCAATGGGGAAGCCAGATTCACTTAACAACCATGTTATTAACTTGATAACTGCAGTGATTCATTTAACAACTGTGGCAAGAGAAGTCATTAAACGGAGCAAAACTCAATTAACAAATGTATCACCCACATACATTTTGAGGACTACCTATATTGCCTTTTGTGAATATCCTTTTAGAGAGTGGTGGTTTTTTTTCCTCCCATTTCCTTCCTTATTTACGAAGAGTTTGCAATTAAAAATATAGAAGAATCTGGTCTGGATGTTCAGTGTTTTAAAGGACTGGCCCACATCAAAGAGTTAATCCCTGAATTCTTAAATGAAAAAAAAAAAACTGAACCATGGAGTAACATGTGCTAAATCAGAGCAAGTCAGAGAACAGACTTCAGCCCCCACTCAGGGGAGATGCAACTGATTGTTTGATGGAATTAATACTATTGTTCAGGGACAGCTGGTGTCCTGGGTGGTAAAGGGAGACTGCTTCTCTGTCCTTTGGCAACACTTCCAAAGAGGAAGTGCATATCAGACTGAGGAGAACGCTGGGAAGGAAAATGCTTGGGTGAGGATCCAGATCTACTTCTTCTACCATTATAGCAGTGTTTCCCAAACTTGACAATTTTAAGGCATGTGGACTTCAACTCCCAGAATTCCACAGCCAGCAATGCTGGCTGTGGAATTCTGGGAGTTGAAGTCCACATGCCTTAAAATTGTCAAGTTTGGGAAACACTGCATTATAGTATGATTTAATGTGAAATCCAATGGAAGCATAAAAAGGGACACTGAGGACCAGTCGCTACAATGTTAGACATTCTAGCACCATTTGCTGACAAGGCTGGTTCCGAATCTCAGTTCTCTACTTATAAAATAAAATAATCATGTTCTACCTATGCAAAAATGTGATGGATAAAGTACTTAATGCGTTACCACATACTTGATTAAAAACGGGGCATACGTGGTAAGTATCTGAATCCATCCAGTGTGTGAGGGTATCTTTTCGGTGGCCTCCATTAGCTTGAGGTTCTCCAGATGAGCTGGACTTCATTAGTTTTGGCCATGCAAACTTGGAATTATGGAGTGAAAATTCTAGTGGGCTATCAAGCTGAGTTAAAATCCACGATGTAACCTGAACCGCCCAAACCCCCTGAAATCAATGGTTGCAGCCTTTAGAGACCTCCAAATATTATGATTCAAGTACATTGTTTAATTTCACAGCCAGCAAAGATTATTAACTGCATGATGGGATTATATTTATCCTGTTAATTTCATTGAACAGTAATGCAAGGCATATCAATTAATTGTTGCTTGCCCACCACTTCCTATTTTGGGAAATGGGCTGTTGAAAGCAAATGGCATGTTAGGGTCTCTTGACTTCCCCCCCCCCCCCACACACACACAATGTACATACCTGTTCCTTGGAGAGCTGGAGTTCTTTTATCTGGGTTCCCTTTGGTTGGAATTAGCCCTTCAAGCATCATCTATTCAGCCATAAAGCTATATTGATCCATCTTAAAAGGAAATGTTACCTAGTTCACACCAACCTCTGATATTTTCTTTCTTGGCATTAATGCTTCCTCTGTTTGCTCTGTTAACTCACTCAAATGGTACATGTTTATATTTAAACATGACCTTTCCCATCTTGGAACAAACTATTAGGGCATAACAACTTTTTCATTTTGGTTTTTTCTAATCAATAAGCCTTACACAGCAGGTACGCTTGGCAATTCCCAATTCCGAAGATTTTCTCTTCAATCACTACTCTACATTGCAATTTCCCTCCTCTGTTTACCGTTTCAGATTACAGCTGCAACTAAAAGAACAATAACAAAGAAGATATTTTCTCAAGAAGCTGCATTATACTTCCTCCTTCTATTGTTTCATATTTCTACATAAGCAATAGTCTGAAAAGACATGTACAGGATTGCATTGTTAAAAATGTCCTTGGAATCACTTTAATTATATGCCTAATAAGATTAAATTAAACCTTGGTTGATCTGTTGGCAATTACCTTTGCAACATGTATAATTTTACCTGGATTATGTGTATTTTAATTCAGGTTCTTTTGGACTCAAAGCCTTCCTATCTGCTTCATGTATCAGTCTTGAACAATTCTGATTTATCAAGATTGTATGCAAACAAATAAAATAGCTCTCCCATTACTGAATTGTTAAGCCTTTGCTTTTACTACGTTGCCTAAATGTTGTCAGTTACCTGTTAGGCCTAGGAATAGGTATAGCTTTCTACAATTTTTAATTTCTTAAAAATCAGTTTGTCTAGTACTTATCAAAAGAAGAATCTGCATGTACAGTCTCCCTCAGCCAGCTGGTCTTTTTCAGCAATACTCCCCCATGCACGACTTATCCAAGTAATATATCTTACATGTGTTTCCTTTTAATATTTGCAAAATGTAGGTACATTTTAAATGAAATTTAATTTAACTTCCCAAAAAATTCAGAGAAATACAAAGAGAAGAATTAACTGCATGCTGGTGTGTCTGTTACTGTGTGTGGCTAACATTAGTTTTAGTTTGGGGCCTCTCAATCTTCTTAGAGTCTCTTTAGACAGCTATATAGTTTACTTGGAACAATCACAATTTGGTTGTGAAAAGAATACTATTTACAGTTAAGCCATAAAATAAAATCAAGACTCATGACTATAACTGTGTCATCCGTCTATCAAATCACATGGGGACTACTTTAGTTAATGGGTTATGGAAGTCTGCCATAATTGCCCTATTGCAATTAGTTCATGAAGTGCAAATTATCTTATTTGATATTTAGATATAAACCAAACACATTTCTTTCCCATCCCTAGAAACTGTGGCTACCTGTGGCCTACTTACTACCTGTGGCTAGTATCCACATTGCTCTCAGGTCAAGTGTTGAACAGGCCAGGTGCACATTCATACAATATACAACCTCTAGGGGCTTTTCTGCTCCTTAATCTGTTTCTTTTGCAGGCATAGACACCCTTCACTCCAAAGCCAGCAAGCTGTTGTTGGGACATTATCGTTACAATCCCTACTTTGAGGAACTGAGCCCTGGCGCCATCTGCTGGTCTTTCAGAGGCAACGATCTGATTTGCCTCAGACTGCTGTAGGCCTGTTAGGTCCATACTTCAGTTAATTTGAACTTTGTTTAGAAGTCTAAACTAGGAGCATGTACTCAATTGAGCTTAGCTAAGCACAAAGCAGATTTATTTATTTCTTGCTTTGTGAAGAACTTTTGCAAATTGCATTCAAGGCAATTAGGCTCATCTACTCTTAGCTGCAAGCACCTACTAACCTTTCAGTCAGCTTCTCTTATGGATAAGGTAATCCACATACACATGTTGCTCATTTAAGAGTTCAGAAGGTTTCATACTATTCTCTTCAATTGAATTGTAACTCTAACCTTAGGCTATATCTCATGGTTCCAAATATACCCAGCCTTCCACCAGAATGCACTTGGTTATGGACATATTTTTCAATATTTATCCTAGTTATATCTATCTTAGTCATGCTTTCCCATGGGAGCCTCTCTATATTCTGCTTTTGCTTATTAATTTTAGGTTTATTTTTGAGTGCCCTGCTACAGATGTTTCGACTAATTACTTGGAATAGGGACACACCAGGGTAGCCCATACAGGAATCCTGGCTCCCATTTAACTCTTCCCTAACAGGTAAGGAAACCTCTCTAATAGTTGTTGTTTTCCCAACTTTGTTTGGAATTCCCATTCTGCTGCTTCAAATTTGTTGGAGGTGGGGAGGAAGTTTATTTTACTAACAGTTCCCTTTTGTTCGAAGCAGTCCTCAATTCTTGGCTGTTTTACAGTCTTCAGTGAAGAGAGGTAACCTGGACTAACACCACGATGTTTCTTTCTTTTTCCTATATCCCTCCCAGTGCTTTCTCCCTAAGGTTTATCTCTACTTATGTTTAAATGAGAGACACAAGGGTGTGTGATGGCCCACACCTTTAACGTAGCATGCAATATGGCCCTTGGGACATTTTGTTTATGCCTCAGAAAGTATTTCAAAATTGCTTGGTGACCTATATATGGCTTGTTATGTCTGAGTACTCTGTTTCTGGCTGGCAGAAACTTTGCATAAACTATGTGGGGGCATGGTCATTTCATAACTCCATTCTAAGAGGTGCTGTTTGTATAAACAGCATCCACTTTCAATTTGCAGATCTGAATATGAACTGTTAAGCTCTGAGGGAGGGCAGCTGAAAAGGTGGCCTGGTAAGACATATTCTGCATTTAATCCAGTTGGTTCCCACTTTTCTATCTGGTGATGACACTGTACGCAAAGTGCTTCCATCCCAGTTATGCAGGTTAGTGAAAATGTAAAGCAGCAACTCCATATCATTGTGAGAAGTTTTGGAAAATCCTTCAGAGTTGGTAAAATGTTACCAGTGGAGTTCTCCTGCCACCCACTGGCTAATTGCTTGAATTGCTAATTCTCTGACACATGATTTCTCTGACAAGTGATTGTAATATGGTCATTTTGAATATGTTCCCTTCCCACGCTTTTAAAGTAGCTTTTTTGTACTGGATAGAAAGCATCCAGAGTTTTAGACCAGACTTCTTCTGCAGTGCACGTAAGGAAGGATGTTCAGTTTTCACAGCAGCCTCTTTTGAGATTCTTGGTCAAAGGGGAAGCACTGAGATTCCCCCTTGGTGCTTTTTCAGGCATCATCCTGAGGGCTAGCACTGGGATGATAAAAGGCAAACTGCTGGATGATGGCACACTTAGCTGGGGAAAGATAAAGGCAGGAATGGGTGTGCAAGTGACTCAGCATTGCATCATTTGGAGAAGCTCTGAATAGATGTACTTCTGTGTATTTTCCTGGTGATTAATTTCTCCCAATGAAATGTAAGATGTAAATGCCTTAATTTGAAACAGAACGTGATGAAAATGCTAAAAGAAAAAAATTCAGGGAAAAGGAATTCTTCACATAATGAAGGCAAGCTTTCCCAGACAAATCAAAGCACAGAAAAAGAAAAAAGAGTATTATTAGCATATAGTATACCTATGTTTACTTAGATCAAAGTGGGCATTATGAAAAATGCCTGAGAAGAAAAAGGAAGTGATTAGGTTTGAGCAAAATACCAGGTTATCACGGGACCCAGCAGTTTGTGGCTAAGGATTCCTGTATCAAACAGTTTCGCTATCTTACCTTCAAGAGCAGCGTAGGGCCAAGCATATTTACTTCCCTCCCCATCATTGTTCATACTGCTTTCCGTGCGCTTGAAGAAGTCACCTTTCATGTCCATAGGGCAACTTCCATCTACAAAGACTCTTCCATCCAGACACTCTATGCTAATTTTCCACACACTTGAATTAGTCCCCCCCCCGCCCCAATTTAGTATCCTGATTACCCTGATGTCCATTTCTTGTGCTGGAAATTGCACATAAAAGCCTTGCAAGGGTTAATATTGTGTGCTGGTGCACCATCAGTCCTGCTCAGCTAGTCAAATTTGGCTGATTTTAGAGTGTCAAGTAGGGTTGTACCTGATTAGTACTTGAATGGAAGACAAACAAGACTGTAGACTAGCCTGGGAATTTGAAAAAAAAAAAAATCCAGGGGAAAGCAGTGGCAACTCATTTCTGCAATGCTATCAAGAAATTTGGTGTGCAGTTACTAGAAATTGAGACCAGCAGAATCTTTACTTTTGCCATCTACAAAGGCTTTCAGTAGATGTGATGGATGGGGTAGGGTAGATAGGAAGATAGCTTCAGCTGGCAGCATGAAAAGCATAGTAGGGTGCATTGTATTCATTCTCAACCTTTCCAAACTTTTAATCTTCTCTTTATTCATCATATGGGCTATAATGTTGAGGAAAGAGGGCAATTTTTTTCAGTTCAACATCTGCTGTTGGTTTGGGCTTACTGAAATGTGGCAAGGGAAACAAATCAAAATAATAACTATGGCTTGTTCCAACGATAACATGAATAAGATTTATGGAGATTCCTGCAACTTTGGGAGTTGATGGGCATTCTTGGAAATCAAGGAAATACTGAAGGCTGGCATTTTGCTTTGACAGCTTCCATTTGATCTTTCTTCATAATTCAAAATACTCCAGCCTGGAAATAAAGCCAGGGAAGATGGCAGGTTAGAGGTGGCACATTAATTTTCATAATCAACAGATTGAAGGGCCCAATGGGTGCATAAATTATATATGATGTCTAGGAAGCTTCCTGTGCTAGTTCTGTTCCTATTCTTCCCATTCCTGCCTTCCCTGTTCTCAATCTTTTTAGTGTGTGTGTGTGTGTGTGTGTGTGTGTGTGTGTTTGTGTGACTACACTTGATATGTTTTATACACTCTCTTTTATATCAGTTTAGTACAGAAGTATGCTATGGTACCCAGTGCCAATTCCAAATTTGAGGAATTCTTAGTTGTGAACCTGATCCTTGCTCTATGGACCTGTCTAAAGGGATTTCTAATAGCAAGACTGATTTGTGCTAAACAATGCTGCCCTGATATAGCATCCTTCTTATGGACCTACTTAATTATCCATAATGCCCTGTTAGAGACATCAAGGAGAAACTGTATTGGTATGCAACATTTTAAAAGAGGACCTCCAGCAATGTTAATGAAACCAAATGTTTCTCTATTGTAATATGTAACATTGACCACTAGGAGGCACACATGAATGGTTTTGTCCTAATGAGACTCCTCTGATGTAAGTAGCCAGATTTTATTCCATGGGTTTAAACTCTCTATTGGAGAGGTCTCCAATCTTTTTGGTTTAGCGGCCCGGAAAGGGAGGCAGGCACCGCTACATGCGCGCACGCAAATGGGCACACACAAACAGCTGCATACAAGTGCGTGCGCACATGAAAACGGGGCTGCATGGGCACGAGTGCTGCAAATGGGGCAGCACTAA